GGCAACACTTTATCTCCTTTCCAGTGTCTGTACGTGGAGAGTGGAAGACACTTCTGACTTATTTGCACTTTCACTCCTGGTACATGTTTTTTTTTTTTAGCCACCATGACTAGAGGAAGAAAATCAGGTCTAAAAGGGTGTGTGTTTCCCCTTAAGCATCCAGCCTTTCCATCTCCTGATCTAGACAGAAGAACTGTAGAGAAGTGGTGGAGGGCAGGGAGGAAGAGCTGCTGAGCATGGCTCTGGAGCAGTGAGGATCCTGTCATGACTGCTAAGAGGACCCTGCTCCCCCTCCTGCTTCCGCATCATGTGAGCAACGCGGCACTCCAGGCTTTCCTGGCCCTGTCTCAGGTTTTGCACTTGCTGTCTCTCGGTATCCTGACCTCAACTAGAATCACATGGAATTTTAGTAGAGGAAAGGAAGGCTCTTCTTCTAGAATTCTGTAGGGAAATCCTCATGGTTTTGGAAGCCTCCCTATATGTTCTTGTCATATTCCTAAAGTCCTACTTTGGACAGATGGCAGGAAGCTTTGGAACATCTGGCGTTTCTTCAGTGGGCACATTTTCAGTTCCTGAATAAATACTCAAATTGGTCATAAGGAAGCTATTGAAATAATAATCATCTAAATTTTACCTAAATTCTCAAGCTCGATGCCAGGTCAGCGACACTACATCTTCAAAGTCACGGTCCTGTGGCTCTTTGCTGGGAACAGCGAGCATCCTTTTGGATGCTTTAGAACCATCTGGAAGAAAACCTGCCTCTAACCACAAAGAGGACCAGGTTTAAAGTTTGCTTAACAGGATATAATTTTTGTTGTTGTTTCAGGAGGATAGTACTGAAATACTCATAGGAATTGGGAATCAAAATCAAAAGTACTGTACATGCAAACCCTTACTTCATACTGAAACTTTTCCTGGAATCTGCAATTCCTGAGTCCTTTGGTCCCTGGTCCAAAGCAAATTTCATTGAGAGAATTCAGTTTACTCTGAAGTCAAATTTTATGAAATTTTTATAGTATCATCCTTAATGTTCATGAAAGGCTTTCTGCATTTATCGTGTGTTTGAATATGTCAGTCATAAGCTTTTAGAAGCTGTATGATAAAAATGATTGAGATCTGTTTAAAAAACTGTATCTCTGACTCTACTTCTTGCTGTTACACAGCCAAAGGTGGCGCCAGCATAACCTGGGGCCCTGGTGGGGCAGGGGACATCTGTGGGGAGATGGGTAAACAGATGCCCTGCTCAGACCCAGCCTGTAGCCTTGGGCTCTTGGGAGATGTGGCTGGACTCCTCCCTCGGGCACACCAGATTTTCCTTCCTCTGCTGTGTTGCTCACCCCCTCTCAAACCTCGAGGAGCTGAAAAACAAGACTATCATGTCTCTAGAACACAGTGCTGAGTCAGCCCACACCAAATTAATGTAATTACTATGTTGATTTCCAGATGTTAGCGTAATGCCAGCCTATCAAAACTCTAAAGATGAAGCTTAAAACAAATACACTTTCTTAGTAAACACCCAAATGAAGACCTGTGGGAAAATCTGATGATTCTCCAAGGCTATAGAAAGCCTCTCTGGCGACAGCACAGTGGAAACAAGTCCCCTCACTGCCAGCCTTGGCCTCTTCTGTCACCCTCATTCCTCCATATCCTACTCCCTTCACTGCCAAGACCTCTGCCTCTCGCTAGGCTTTACACTGGGCTGGCCACTGTCCAAGGCCTTAACCTCTAGGAAACAACCCCTCCTTTTGCCCAGGAGGTCTGCAATCCTCTAAACCTCCCGAGCTAGGCAGAGGTGGTTTCTTCCACGTCCGGACCGACACCCTCCAGCAGGTCCCAGGCCATCACAGCTTTGGCCTTCTCACTGATAAATTATGGGGCAATAATACCTATTTCTGGGGTATGATTCACAGACAGTGGCTGGCACCCTATAAAGACGCAGCAGATGGAGCTAACTTCGGGAGTTTTTCTGGACTGTGTTTGCTCATGTTTTCTGGCTTCTCCCATAACTGCTGAGATTATTCCTTCTGCTGATCAGGTGCTTAATTGTTCTTCCCTGATGCACCTTCATGGTAAATATCCAGACTCCTGGAGGTGAAAAGGTTAGGAGCCAGGCCCTAGTCAAATCCACTGCCTCATAGTTCAGACTTTGGCTATAAAAATTACCAGAAAAGATAAATTCATCACTTGCCTGTGAACTTCTTTCAGCATTCGAATTTTGGAAAATTGTTCTTAATTTAATCTTATTATTCTTAATTATATGCCTTATACTGGGCCAACTGATTCTTTTCATACTGATTCAAGCTCATATAAAATGAGTTTTATGTTCAACTCTGAGCTCACTTTTCTTGATGTGCCGAGCTACCCATTCCCAGTCTCAGAAATGATTTCTAATTATATGCCTTCCCACGTCCTGAATCCTGATTTGAAGCACCCTCTGTGAGATGCTGGGTAACCACTGGGCAATACACTTATATCATTTGGAATTATTAGGTCCTAAATCACACTGAGGAAGCAGCTGAGATTCAATCTCTATAGCTTGTCAGCTATGATTTTAGCTGACACTGTATCCTTAAAGTAATTATGTCTGCTAATATTAAAAAATTTTTAAAAACAAGCCCCGCCTGGCCTACATCGTGAGACACTGTCTCAAAAGATCAAAAACAAGACACAAATGCTAATAGCACCAATTTTTGAGAAGCAAATGAAGTTAGCTTCTCTAACAGTTTAAACAAACTCAAAATTATTTCAATCTCAGCTTGTTCATTTTTATGCCTCCTCTAATATTGTCTTAGTTACTTTTCTCTTATTGCTGAAACAAAATACCCAACACCCAAAATTAAAAAAAAATTAATTTATTTAGCTTGCAGTTTGTGGAGGTTTCAGGCCATACTCTGCTGGCTTCAACACAGGGTGACATGGTAAGGGACAACAGAGTACAGTGGCAGATGACAGCAAAAGCAACAAGAGCAAAAAGGGGGAGAGCAAGCCTCTTTTCTTCCCTTATATGGTATGCAGGATACCTGCCCTAGGTTAGGTCCTTTACATCTACACCATCTCTATGCTCTATCTACACCATCTGTATCCTCTTCATCAGGCTTAGGATGTTTACAAAGTAAGGACCTGACCCTCTGCTGAGTCACTTAGTTAAACTTCTAAACTTCTCAAGTTGATGCAATGAATCAGCCATTACAACATCCTAGAGCTTAAATAGCTGCCCTGGGGTATGTCCTCTACACCCTAGGATGTGGAACTGCTGAGTTACCTAGTTAAGCTTCTAGATGTCTGAAGTTGACACAATATATCAAGCATTACAAATATGAAACCTAAAACTGGCCAAATCATTGTAACTAAGCAATGTTATTGTGGACAAAAATCCAAAAATGTAAAAATTAAATATAAATAAATACTTATAAATTTTTAAACAAGTGTGACTATTAGAATTGCTGGCATAGAGCTATACATGTGTCCTAAGGAAAGTACAGCAAAACACTGGATTGTGAATAACTTGTTCTGTGAGTGTTCTACTGGATAAGCAAACATTTCTAATAAATTTTAACTAGGTAAATAAGCAATGCTTTGCAACACAAGTAGTACATGAAGCTCAACATCAAATCATCACAACTGAGCCAATGGTCTCTCTCTTTCTCTCTTTCTCTTGATTCAGGATCATAGGTGACTGAGGTTATGGAGAAGATCTCATTCAAAGAGGAGGAGGAGTAAAAGAGAGAGGAATCCCTCACTTCAAATGAGATCAGGGAGACGAGTGAGAAAGAGCACAAAACTCTGTAGAAAACATCACCAGGATAAGGCTGTGGCAGTACAAGTGATGAATCTGTTTAATGATAATGCAAAGTCACACTTCTGTGAAGTCCTCAAAAGAAGGCAAAGACAAGTCCTTGGATAAGTTCCTTGCTAAAGTTGCATGGAAATAAAAAGCTTCTACTGACCCAATAGATAGCAGCGATTCCATTACTGACAGTGAAAGTTGTTCTACACAATAACTCTCCTCTCTTTTCTCCCTAACACCAGCCAGGAAGGTTTTCAAAGGTAAGTGCAGGTTAATTTGTTTATTTTTCTTTATATTTTGTACTTTCTCTATTATTTTGTATTATATTACAGTATTGTAATCATTTTATATGAATATTTTTCGGTTGTGGAATGAATCATCTGAGTTTCTGTTCTTTCTTACAGGGAATATCATTTGCTTTGATACACAAATGCATTGGATTAAAAGCAAGTGTCTGAAATGAATCATGTTCTCAAACCAAAGTTTTGCTCTAATTGCCTTCAGACCTACTGAAGGGTATTTTTCAGTGTATATCTCATAGTCCACAACTCCTGTTTGGGTGGAAACTGCTGGCTATTTATGGGCCATAGGTAGGGGTGCTTCCTCCAGGTGTAGGAGTGCTGAGGCTCTGATGCAAACCCTCCAGCACTTTCTTGACTTTCATCAGCAACTGCTCCTCAGACAAAAAGCAAACAACTGTTTCTTACCTGACCCTGGGAAGACTTGTTTTCTTGTTTTAATTATTTTAAGTTTAAACTAATTTACCACCTTCACTGACCATTTGTGGTAGCTTCACTTTCTTTCTTTCCTTGTTATTAGAGTTGTGGTCACTCTTCTTATCTTCTGTATGTCAACTTCCTGAAGGACACATGTTGTCTGGGAAGGGCAACATTAGAAAAGCTGCCGGCATTATGCTAGGGTCCATGGAAGCCTCTATTTGGAGTCACAGAGAGATGGGTCACAGGAATTCAGGTGTGAGCGATAGTACACTTCCACTGAGACCTGCATTTGCACTTCCCAATGATTCACACAATTTCTGCTTTGTGATTTATTCATTCATTTTGTTTGTAATATTTCTAGAAAATAGAAAAGTGAGGTCTGGGGTTTGGAATGGTCTTGCTGATGCTGTGAATGATAAAAGGTCATCAAGTCACAGGGCACATTTTTCTCTGACTTTGTAAAAGGTAAACATCTGGTGTTTCAGGGAGCTTACCTTGTCGGACGGCGAGGGTGGTGGTGTAGACCAAGAAGAGAAGGATATAATTGAGGAAGCTCTGGAAAACTGGAGTGTTGGCATGGAAATCTTCTGACAAGTACTTGCTGGTCAAGCCAATTCCACAAATAAGGAGGGATAGTACCTGGCCCAGAGCCACAGAGATTAACATCTCCCTGAGAAAGAAACAGGAAGTCCATTAAAACAATAGCAGTTAAGATATACTGGTTATGCCTAGGATCCAGAAGGTCAGTGACAGTGAACCTTTTAGAGATGAGTGCAAATACCGTAACCCAAAACCCACTTATGTATTGAAAAGTGACAACACTGCATTTAAACATGAACACTGAGGTTTTAGTTTAGAAAAACAACCCTGTGGGGAGCAGCTGAGCTGGAGATCAGTCACACATTTGGGCTAGAGCAAGGCCACCCCCAAGAGCACAGAGCACCAGAGGTGAGCTTTACAAACAAGTTGTTGGGACTAGAGCAAAGCCAGTCCGGCAGGTGTCCAGCCTTGGTGTTCTTCCCTGTTAACTACAGCAGAGAGCTCTGAGAATGTTTTGCTTTCAGTGTTCTCAGTAAAACACTGAGACCTTGCACTTTCAGCCTCTTCACGTCTCCCCCCTTTTAACCGTGTGCAAATAAAGACACAGACCCTGCTGAGTTGTTACTGCCTTTCCGTCAGAGAGGTCAGGTCCCGCCCCATCCCAGATTTCCTTGTAGTATGTGTCTAGCTTTTTCTTAGTCTCCTGTGGCCCTCTCTCAAGGCCAGACGGGCTGTGTGGGCTGCAGCACACCTGTCATGAAATGCTGGGCTGCTGGGGAGACTTGGCTTGGGTGCCCACAGAGAGCTCTGTACTGCCACCACTGCACTCAGTTAAGGGCAATAAATAGTATTTCTTTTAATCCATCCCAGTGATACTACATGGAAGATGTGTTACTGCTGAGGCTTTACAGAAGTGGAACCCAAGCTTAACATGGCTAAAGGCTTTGTCAGCCACAGAACTAGGAAGCAGCAAAACCTGGCTGGGCCCAGGTCTCACCCTCCTCCGCAGATTCCCAGTACTGTGAAGGAAGACGCTTTTTCTGACAGATCGCAGTCCTGGGCCCAGAAACACTCAGGGCAAAGGGGTCTGAAAACCCGGCGCAGCCTCTCCTGTTCATGCTGACACCTGGACCTCACTGTGCTCTGGAAGTTCCCTAAGCACTCGTTGTCTGTTTTCTTACACCCGAGTAACCACTGCCTGTGCACCTCACAGTCTGACTCTTGAAGGCAGTTCCGCAGTGTGCTGGTGCTGGAGGGAGAACACATTTCCAGCCATGCCAGCGTCTCCTGTGTCCTTTCTGCAGACACTGCACCACAGACCACTGCATGGGCACCAGAGGCCAGTGTCAGAGCGCCATGAAATGGCCACAAACATGCATGGTCACACATGCTTGGACATGGGGAGAACCCCGGCATTAAAAGTAGACTTCTGCCCTCCCTGAAGTGTTCATGACTTTCCTGGTTTATTTATGGGAACAGCAATACAAAGCAAGCAAGCAGCAGTATTTCTAAACAACAAGCTTGAACACAGGGTGGTGGTGCTGCTTCCTCCCCCGTGGCAGCCATGAGTCTATTATTCTGGAAGGAGCAGAGTCCTAGGAACTCCTTTGCTGTGGTTTTGATTTAAGGCAGAAAGCATCAGTCACACATTGTTCATTCCATCCACTTTCTCAAGGAGAAGAAATGACATCAAGGCCTGCAGGTTCTTGGGGCTGTTGCCCTGAGGTTAACCTCTGTCCCATCCTGGTTCCCACCCGGACTTCTGAGCTCAGTCTCCAGAAAGAGTCAAGGACACGTGTATGATACATCGGCCTGCTGCTTGGGACCCTGTGCCCCTGCCCTGAGGATCTGAAGGTCTGCAGAGGGCAATCTGCAAAGACTAGGCTGGTGCTCGGCCAGGGTGGCCCACAGAGCTTTGCTCAGGGAAGGGGAGGACTGCCCTGGCTTCTGCCCCAAGCCTAAGCTCTGCGGCTTCCATGGTTTGAAGAAGCCTGCAGTAAAAGTTGAGCACAGAGCCAGGGGCGAGAGAAGCCAGTCCGCTCTGCCACTACCCTGAGGGACAGCCAGGTGGGGGGGTTGGCGCCTCCTGCTCTGTCAGCTGTGCCACCCTCACTGCACACAGAGGCGGGCGTCCGAGGCTGCACCCACTGTGGAGAGCAGGGAGGAAAAGCTTGGTGCTGTCCAGGTCACACAGCTTATCATGGTGTACAGCAGCTGGTCACTGAGGCGACGTCCTCGAGCCCTCCCTGACCACTCCAACTTCCCCTCTGCCCCCACTGTGTCACCCTCCATGGACCAGTGCCCCGGCCTTGTGAGCCACTTGCTCCTCATCAGGGGCCATGCGCTTCTGCACCTCTGCACATGCTGCTGCTTCCAGAATGTTCCCTGTGCCTCAGCGGTCTGACCCCGGCCTCCTTAACAGGCTATCTCCTCTTTTCTTCTGCCTCTGACACCACCTCTGCTTTCTCCAGACCGCGAAGGTCATGCAGTGTTCAGTCTGTAACCAGAAGACGGTACAGAGCAGCAGAAAACGGGGACACACAGGCAGGCTGGGAGATGTGCGCTGTGTGGAGTCATTTATAAGAATGGAAGGGTGATTTTAAAAAGAGCGGTTCAGGTAAGAAAAAAATCAGTTCTGATCGTTTTTAAGCTAAGAGAAATGTAACACCCACTGGTGAAAGTCATGATAAGGAGTCGGCTTTGGTGGCAAGACCTCAGAGCAGCTGCCAAACGACCGAGCAGCATAAAATCGGGGCCGCAGAGGTCAGCCAGGGTGTAAATAAGCGAAAGTTACATGTATAAAAGCGATGGCGAAAGTGCTGGTAATGGACCATGCACCAAGGAGTGAGAGGAAATAAGGGGACTCGGGAAAGACCCCGAGAGGTCTCCAGGTTGGGGCGGGGAGGGGAGGACAGTCACATTGCTGGGGTTGGTTTCTAGAGGACAGGAAAGGCGAGGCCAAGACAAGGCCTGGTCCAAGAAGACCATGGGAAAGGCGTCTGTGGAGGAGACTGCTGGCACACTGAGGGCTGCCTGCGGGCAGAGAGAATGAAGAACTGGCAAGAGATGACTTGTGGTAACTGCCAGGCTTTAAAGACAAGTTCTGGCTGAGTGGGGAGAACCAAAATAATCCTGGTGCCATGGAAACCAAGGGAATGGAGCATCTGAGATGTGGGGGAGAGTGGACCGGAAGCAGGGGGAGTTGGTGTTGACTGTGAAGAATTCAAGAAGTTCTTTAAGGAAGTGTGATCTAGTCACCACGTCACGATACTAACGACAGTTCAAATAAATGACTAGCATTTATAGCAGATTAATAATTGTGCTATCATCGGTCACTCTTGATTATTTGCCTAATAACTCACATTCTTCAGTGAGTGAGAAGAGGGTAGAGTTCTAGCCGGTAAGCCATAGAACTGTTCCTGGTGCCGAGCATCTCCTCCTGAGGACCTGGGGGGCGGGGAGCATCCCCATAGGGAGAAGGCAAAGACTACTGCTGTGACTCGGTGACTCGATGACTACCGTGGTGCTCAGAACCGTGGCAACATTCATGCCTTTCTGAGCAAAATCAGTCCACACAAGGCCATGGATTACCTATGTAAGAGATGAAGACTTCAGTCCTTCTTGGGCATATCTGCAGCATGGGATAATCTCGCCACCTGCCACACACTACACAGAAAGATGACAAGACGCCCTGGTCGCTGGGCAGCTATTAAACTCCAAGTTGGGAACCGGGTTCCTAAACAACCTGCATAAAATGGAGCCAGTGAAGGTGAAACAGCAACTACCATTCATATCTAATAAGTTTTTATTATGTGCCAAACCCTGGGCTTACATTTATGCACACTACCACATTTAATCCCAGAATGCCCTGAGAAGGCAGGCATTGTTGTTCCATTTTGGAGGTCATCATCGCTGCTGAGAGAGGAGTACACGGTCAGCCCAAGATCACATGGGGAAGAGCTTGGATGGAAACTAGGTGACATCCGTCCAAATCCTGACTTCTTCGTTACTACACTAGGGCACCATACAGCGCCAAAAGTGCTCTGCCTGCCTAAGAGGCTGGTTTCCAGAAAAACTTTGTAGATGATAAAGACAGAGAAAGAACGCCTGCCAAGACTGGCTCTCCGACGAACACCTCCACCGAGATTGCTGCCTGTGTGACGCTCGTGGAGACGTCGTCACAGCCTATTCCTGTTCCTTGGACCACACGGAACAGCGGATCTGCTGCTTCTCAGTTTCTGCTTTTAATGAGCGGCCGCGTCCTTCGTGGCTGCAGGCGCAGTTCAGCGGAGAAGACAAGTCACACAGGATTGGCCACACTGGTGACAGTGACACAGGGAAAGGGTGGAAAGGCAGGGGCCTCCCGGCAGGGCAGTGCGTGAGTCCTTCCGGCGCAGGAGCTAGGTGTCAGCCGCGGCAGCCAGTACTGCGGAGCTGCAACTGGAGCCACCGCAACAAAAGGGATGAGCGAACGAACGAATGAAAATATACATGACCCCACATACCCGGATGGGGGCGTTCCGATAACTGGCCCCTCCCCAATTTTCCTTTGCTGAGGAACAAATCCGTGTCACTCAGAAATGTTGCCCTGCTCTCTGCCCAGGACCTCAGCTCATTTACTGCAGCCCTGTCCCTCCTAACCCCTTCCTTCCTTCGGTACCATCGCAGTTGATCTGTGGTCTCCTTGTCCACCTCCTCATAGCCTAAGGACCCCCATGGGCCATCCCCCGTGCCCCATAGTGGAGTGGAGCGCCCTCATCTGAATGTCCCTGTCTCTACTTGCACTTAGGGTACTGGGAGCTCATGAGCCCCTGAAAAGACAGAAATGCATTTTGTTCATTTCTATGTTCCTAGCCCCTTGAGAGCTGCTGGGCAGAAAGGAAATAAATGCTCAATAAACACAGAATGAATGGATGACACCTGCACAGGTATCTATGAAAAGGGAAAGTCTTAGACGATTTGAAAGATGGCTGCTGATCTTCTCTTGAAAACCTACTAGCTCTGAACGACAAAAACAGCCTTGCTTTCACGGTATTCCATCTGCCAGTCAGACCCTGAGATTAATAAGCTATTTTCTGAAGCATTTTTGAACAAGCCTGGTAGGTGCTATCTTGCAAAAATGGTGCTAAA